TGTGGGCGAACGGTCACCGAGTTCATCGAACACACAACTGGGTATGTCCATCTACCAAAGGCCCTCCTTCAACTCTCGTTTTACTTTCCAAACCTCACTTTGTACGGTACGGGATTTCAAGAGCTCTTTGCCCACCCAGTATTCCCATCGGATCTTGAGACTCTTTCCTCTAAGAGTCCTTCATTCACATTACTACTGCACGATGTCCTCAGTACAGTTTGGTCGCAACCAGGAAGTTGTGTGGATGTGGTGAAGAAGATCCAAGGTCGGAAAATAAGGAGAACCATGATGGGTGACACCTGGGGTGATCTGGAGAGCCGTCTTCAATCAACCTCTAAAGATGTGCTGGCTTTTATGCTGGATTATTTGAGGGAAATTTTCGCGATATTCTGTTCAACTACAGAATTCTGCGACCGAGAGGGGATTCCGTTGCGCGACGTCAAATTTCAACAAGAGCAACGTTGGATCGAGTTCATCCGTGGAGAGGACACTGGATAACTAGACTAACCCTCTTATCTGAGTGATATTCTCATATGTATAGCAGCAACCGCCTGCAACTATCGAATTTTCCACCTTGCATGTGAGAGTCTGATCCAGCCGACGCCTATCATCCTTTATTAGCTTCATAAATTCTAGACCTCACAGCTCTAAACAATATAGACCTCTTTTAACTTCTAGTTTGATGTCAGGAGTATTTCCCAACTCTCTCTATTTATTAAGTAACCAGATTTTTTGTATGCACCATTGAATTGACAGCGAACGGAGGATGGTCGAAGCATAGTTGACCGTTCGCCGTTGGCTATGCTCATTCAATAGAGCTGAGGAGCTGAGGATGCCCGAGGCGTTGATGCTTAAGGCAGGGCAAGAGAAGTGCCACTTCCTTGGAATTTTAGCTGTCGATGACGTGTATCGATTTAAGAGGGTACTGTGTTCGAGCGCCCAAGTGACTTCTCACCAGTCATAGAAGCTTGGTCCCAACCACCTGAGAGCAAGAGTATTCGGCCAATCCTTTGGGCATCTATTGGAGCCCACCTCAATCTAGAACTTGAATATGGATGGTGGTTCCATCATGTCTCAACTACCAGTTGAGATTTGGATCCTAATCTTCCGCTATGCCTGCGCCACCCCATTCGCGCCTTTCACCGATGAGGCACATAATCATTTGAGCCCATCGATAGTGGACAACTTCGAGCTATTTACGGTCGTAACCCACCCCTTCGAAACATATCACGAGTCGGACAACCTTTTCAAGACACTACGGCTCGTGTGCCGGGACTGGGCGTCTCTCGTAGATTCACTCTCGATCCGATATCTCTTCATCGTCATGGAGGACTTTTCATTCCCTCACTTCAGTGCGAGTAAACTAATGTCAGTTGAAAGGCTACATATATTGCGACATTGGGGTGAAGAATACTGCTTCTGTTCAAGCTGGGTGAAGTGCACTGATGACAGCTGCCGATCACTCTATGACCCAACGGATCCTTGGGAAGACAGTTGCTGGAAATTCAATAATAAACAGCTAAAACAGATGTTACGAAATGTTAAAATCCTCTTCCTTCGCGACCGGGCAAGTCGATACGAACGAGTCCTCCAAGCCACTTCAAACATTCGAGCACTATACTGGGACTCGCACCCACATGACCCTGATCTATTCTATTCATTCGAATTCACGCATCTTACACATCTTGAGCTACGTAATCTCCGCTGCGCCCAGTTTCTAGAAGGCTACATCAATGGGTCCCTCAGTCTACCATCCGTCCTCTATCTCAGTCTCCATTTTGTACTAGGATTTTCTTCCGACGATTGGGTTCTATTAACGAATGTTAACAAATCCACAGCATTTCCTCGTCTAAAGTCCCTCGAGACTACTGGTGACATCGAATCCGAATTTCAAGAGGCGATGAACAATTTTCTTCGAGCTTCAGGTCGAACAGTAACGGAATTCGTCGAGCATTCCGTTCCTCCAAACTCTTATCGTGTCTCAAGAACCATGGAGCACGTCTTCCCATCCTTGTCCTCTTACTTCCCCAATCTACGACTATACGGGATAAATCTTGGTGATCTTCTCTACGATTCTGACCATGCACCAGACATCGCTATCACTCCCTTCTCACCGAAAGGAGCTTCATTCACCCTTCTGCTCTACAATTTCATTTCATCCTTCTTTTCCAGGCCGGAATCAGCAATCACCTCATTATTCATTATCAAAGGGCAATGGAAAGTTACACGTATTATGATGTATAACAGCTGGGAAGACTTAGAGTCTACCTTAATGAACTATTCGGCAGATATTCTTCCGAACGTCCTATCCTGGATCCAGACATTTCTCCAAGGTCTGGCTGGATCTGTCGAATTCTGCGACCGAGAGGAGGTTTCGCTGCGTAATGCCAAGTTTCATCACAATCATAGATGG